ATTATAACAAACAAAAAAATTAGTGAATATTATAAATTAGTTAATTACTATTATAATAGTTATTACAATATTTATTAAATTTGAAATTGATTAATAAGTTATTAATGTTAACTTAATATGTTATTATAAGTAAATTAATCAATTTAATTTGACTTTAAAAATTAAATTTTAAAAAAAAATATTTACAAAATTAAAAAATATATATATATATATTTATTAATTTTTATTTTAAATTGGTGATTTAGGGTATTGCTAGGCCTGAACAATCTGATAGGAACGACGACGAGATGGATGAGTATATTGACGAATCTGGACACCGACACCAGAAGCAACGGGGTGTAACTGCGTCCGCTCGTCGGGATCGAGAATTCATTATCCAAGAGGCTCGGAGGGTACAGACTGGCCAGGCAGGCAGTTCGAGACTCCAGACACCTCTACCAGCTGGTCAGAGGGGATATGGTACACCACCAGTACCAGTTGGTCAGCAGGGATATGCTGCACCACCACTGTACGAGCTCAGTCAACATAGATATGTTTTTGCTGGCCAGTCAGGCAGCTCGATACCCCCTGCACCAGCACCAGCACCGGATGGTCAGCAGGGATACTATGTTGATGAGTCGGTAGCCCAGATGGCTGAGGATTCTGACGAGTCGGCATCTTCATATGATGAGGGCGATGACGATATTCCTGCACAGGCTACGGTTCTTGTGCAGCCTGCGGCTCCTTCACGGCCTGTTCATCCTGCTCCTCCACGACAGGCTGGGGGGCGTTTTGCTAGCACTGGATCCTCAGGTAAATAATTTACGTATTTATTGTTGTTTGTTATTAAATAGGGTGTTATCACAAGTTATTGGTACAGTCGCGACTCGCGAGATGAAATCGCGAGTCGCGAATTCACATATTTCGGCTCTGTTAAACTCGCAAGTCCCGACCTCGACTCACGATCTCTTGGACAAACGTCTGAAATACATCAACATTTGTCCATGTACTCTGGTTATCCTGCCCCTGGTTATCCTGCCTCTGGTTATCTTGGCTCTGGCAATCTGTCCCTACAAGTGTGTACGGAAAAAAAATTCAATGAATTAACAATAAATTAGAAAGTAGAAAATTGTAAATGAAACATTAACCATTAATTACCTGGGTGTAACATCTCTAGTGTCTTCCAGAACTCGTGGATATCACTCAATTCAACCGAAAGGTCAGAATCAAATACCATACGAAGCGTACAGGCACAAGGAATTCCATGAGTGGTAAGCAATACACAACCGCAGTGCTCGTAAACTTCATAGCTCAAGGCTTGCATCCTCGTCATCTTAGAGTTCAATATGTCCAGACAGTAATGCGAGACCCTCAGTGTCAAGCACGCGAAAGGAAATCCCGTAAACCCCGTATACCTCCTAAGTTTCGAAGACTCAAGCGTTGTCCTGATAATATATTACAAAATATTATATTTATATTTATAAATAAAACGAAATACCAAGAATTCTAATATATATGAAACGATCTAATACAGTTAAAAATAAGGAATGTACCTTATTCCAGTCATCTGGGACTGGATCTATGCATCAATCTTCTGCCACACTGTATCGAGCGCGCTGGTCGACGTGTGAAGTCACCGCTTCAACACAGAGTGTGCACTCTCCACCCTACATGAAGTTGTGTTGCCAAGATGTGTTACCCGGTTAGTCCAAGCTTTCACGAACTTCTCCTTGTGGACTAACCAAGTGTAACACCCCAAACTCATGTCATTCATTTTATGCTTAAGTAATATTTTCATGGATATTATTTATGTTTAATTTAATGATTTATAAAGTTATTTTTATTTTATTGTAAGCTCGATTTTATGTGATAATTAAGTGAGTGTCCACACTCATTTATTTATCAAGTTAATGATTAAAAAGGGAATTATTTAGATGTCCTCATCTATTTAATTTTCCCAAATATTAAATGCAATAATATTAATATAATTTTAATTATGAAATGGCTTAATTTAATTAATATAATTTTAATGTATTAATGAAGATAATAAATATTAAGATGATAAATTGAGCTCAAATAACAGTCCACTTTTCCTAAGCCAGATGAAAGCTCAAGACCTTACGATATTTTCATCCCTCATCCAAGCAACAAGAATCCTAATTGTTATCAGATACCTAGTTTTATCATGCAAGAGTTCTTTTTAAATACGGTATCAAACCCCACACATTACAAATCTCTTCCCTTTATCTCTATCTCTCTCACCGATCTCTCTCATCTCTCGGCCCTCTTCCTTTTTTTTTTTAATTTCCCGAAGCTTTCATCGTCTTCATCATCCCATCATCATCATCGACTACCTTCTTCCCCAGCTTCACCATCACCATCGTTCATCGTCACCACCATCGATCACCATCACCATCTTCACCGTTCGCGCAGGCCCCGCCTCCATCGCCGACCACCATCCTCCACGATCGCAGCGAGCCCTCCACGAAGCTCCATCTAAGTCGAGCAGGTCCTCCATCGCAGCGCAGCACCGTCGTCCTCCTCCCTCTCCGCGAGCCACCACCGTAAGCAACAATCACCGCCCTTTCTCTGCGTTTTCCGGCGATTTGCGCAGCAGCGAGCAGCCCTCCACGAAGCAACGCTGTCGGGACCCGAGGAGTTCCGTCAGAGTACCCATTGTAGCCGTTGAGCCCCGCCAAGTTCCGTCGGAGCGTTAAACGTAGCCGACGCAGTCCGCCGCGTCCCAGCCACCGTGAAGCAGCACCTCTGCAACCTTTCGTCACCGCAGCAAGCCACAGCCACTGCAGCAAGCCGCCTCCTCAGCCACGAACAACCCCTCCTCGTACACGGCCAAGTTCAACCAAGCCCTCTTTCGAACCGTTAGTCTTTTCCCAAGCGGTAAAACCCTAACGCCTTAACCTACTTGGACTGTTAATTTGAATTCGGTTAATAACGTAAGAATTATTAATGTGTTAAGACTTGATAATTGAATCTCGTATGCTTGCTTAAGGTCCGAGTAAATAATTGTTGAGTTATTGTTGAGGTGGAATTGGTCGGAGCCTTGCCGGGCTTCCGAAAGAATTGATTGAATGATATGTGCATAGGGTTATTTGTTGTCAATTTATGTGTGCATAATCGTGTCTTATTGTGTGATAAACGTGCCTAGAACCCATGCTTTAGGTTGCTTTCGAGATGATATGAAGTTCGGATAATTAGGTTATGATTTCATGTGTAATTGTCATTTTCGTGCTGTCTGTTCGGAAGCAATTTAGGCCCCTGAGATGTTATTTTCGGTTTTCGAGTTCTGTATATGATATGTAGTTCGTTCAGTTGTGTTTACGTGAGCTTTGGAATCGTGCAATTTCGACTTAAAACGAATAAGTTATGATTTTTACAAAATGGACTGCGCAAGCAGTTTTTCTTAAATCCGGCTGCAGTTAAGCTTGGATGTTTTGTGTGTTTATGATATGATAATTTGCTCAAATGAACCTGAAGTCTACATTGAAATTATAGTTCTATGTGTTACCTTTCATGTGGTTCTGGAATCAAGCAAAAATATGGTCCGAGTAGTGAATGATACCTGTTTTCGTAAAACCGCGCATGAATTTATTTTAAAGTTATGGACAGTATTTTAGCTTTGAATGTTTGCTGGTTTTGGACCATGTATATGACTTTATTTGCTTTTGAGTGCTAAATTAAAGTAGTAGTACCATGTCTTAGGAGCAATATGAGACTTGAATCATGTTAATGTGACTTGTATGTTGAAAGATATACTCGTTTTAAAAATGCAGCACGTGTTAAGTTTTGTCAAAGGATTAAGTGTAATTGTTTAAGTGAGCCTTATGTTTATTAAGCATGCTTATATGACATGAATGAGCTGTAAAGCATTGAGTGAGATCATGATGAACCTTAGATGATTAAAAAGTGTCCTTAGGCAAGCAAGCTAAGAGTTCAATTGTCCAAATGCTTTAAGTAAGAATGTTTTTCAAAAGAATGCAAGCAAGGCGAAGCCAAGCGAGCAAAGTTTTTCTAAAGCTTATGTATGATTATAAGTATAAGTATAAGTATAAGAATAAGTTCCATGTTAAGACGCTAAGACATGACCCCAATGAATGTAGTTTTACGAGGAGTCGAGCCCTCGAGTTTCGTTCAAAGTCAAGTTCAAGTCTAAGCCGAGCATTCTACTGAAAAGGTGGAGGAAGTTCTACTTTATTAATCCTCTTTAATTATCTATGCTATGAATGAAGTTAAGTAGCTTGCATAGTACCCATGTTTATACAATGTTCCAACATTCGAGCAAGTCGTTTGTTGCAGTACCAAGGTTCACGGA